CTCACCACCAAGTCACAATACACACCTACACTGAGAGTTAGAAAAATATTTATAAATAAATATATAAGGGGATTGGAAATGATGCAGACAATTACATTGATAGAAGCCACAATATGTATGCAATATTAAAGCTGATCCACCCCCTCAAAAACAAAACAAATACACTGAAGAGTTAAGCTCTATTCCTATATACACACTAGATTTACATTTTAATCATTTAGCAGACGCTCTCATCCAGAGCAACTTACAAATTGGTGCATCCAATTTATGATAGCCAGTGGGACAAAAACATTTCATGGGGGGGGTGTGTTAGACAGACACATAGTTGACAGGCTACAGAAGAAGGCTACAATAATGTAAAGGAGATCGGAGTGAAACGAACTAAACATCTGGGAAAGCGAGAGAGCGGGGCCTCCCTCACTTACGTTTCACTGAAACACTCAAATATAACTCTCCCAACTTCCACTTTAGAAATTATAATTGTTGTAAACTACAGCGGTTCAATGTTTCTAGGAATAGAATAACTTAGTTTATTCAGCTAGCAACTTGGTACAGTATTCTTCCGTGAAAACCGTCCAGGGCACCGAATCCAATGACTCCAAAGCCAACTAGCATGCCAGCCTCCAATGACACGGTTTAGCACCAATACTCGGTTACAACAAACCATCAGTGTGTTAACACGCCAAGCAGATAAATTGTGTCCGTGTCTAACGTTGTGTAAAGTGTTGGGTTAGTTTTGACAGTTTGAGTGATTACGTCGTCAACTTATTCAGCCAGTTAGTTAGCTAGAATTCATTGTAGTTGGTGTTTTAGTATGGATGGTTTGGAAACACAGGTTTAAGGGTTCATTCATATATTATGACGACATTTTGTGACATATTGGTTTCCAGCAAGGGTTTTTTCGGCTGTGTGTGCCGATTCTGTACATCCTTCCTCTTTCTGGTGCATTGCAGCGTTACCAAGTTGAAAACAACTGTGAGATAAAGATGGGTCCCTGTCATGCCTTGAACATTCAAACTGTAGATACAACAGGTCTGTAACTGTAGATACAACAGGTCTGTAACTGTAGATATAACAGGTCTGTAACTGTAGATACAACAGGTCTGTAACTGTAGATACAACAGGTCTGTAACTGTAGATACAACAGGTCTGTAACTGTAGATACAACAGGTCTGTAACTGTAGATACAACAGGTCTGTAACTGTAGATACAACAGGTCTGTAACTGTAGATACAACAGGTCTGTAATTGTATTTGAAATGCATACTGTATTTAGTAACTTT